ATCAATTCTATCAGCCAAGTCACCGTAACCTGAGCAGCGGATCCATTTAGTAGATGTGCGGAATCTCCAGATTGAGTGAGTGAGTGAGTATGGTTTTTCGCCGCCTTTAGCAATATTCCAGCAATATCACGGCGAGGGACATGGGCTTCACACATTGTACCAATGTTGGGAAACAAACCCGGGTCTTCTGCGTGACGAGCGAACGCTTTAACCACTAGGCTACCAGCCCGCCCCGGAATCGCCACAGTTGTTGCGCCATGTTAATAATATATAATGCTGTATCTGATGAGGAGGTACATATTGCATAATCGAGAATCTGTTATCATGTTGTAAATATATAAGTATTTTCAGACTTTTTAACTTTTAAGTATACAATAGTTTTGGCATTGCAATTCCAGAAATTATGTGGGCAGATAATTATTGTTACCCACGAGATATACATGTGTGGTGTGTTCCCACAATGTTACCAAAGGTTGTTGAAATACAGGTATATAACCCTTTTTCATTTGTAAAATATTGTGCTTATATTTATTATTCTACCATGAATTTGGAGTTTACTCGATTCTGGTTGGTCAATCAGAGGCTATTATATCACAATAAACCCCTTCTGATTGAAACAGCTGGTTTGACGGCCGCATCACCGCGGAAGCTAATATTCATAGAATAGTACTATTTTCAGTCATTGTCGGTAGGCATATTTAAATAATTATATCTACAATTACAGGTTACAAAATGCACAGATGCGGTTACTACAATATTCAAAGGATGTGTGGCAATACATTTCGTGCAGAAAAACACGACAGAAATCAACAAAGGGAATGAATTTACGTTTTGGAGACAACAGAGAGCATGGAATTTTGGCGCTTTTCTATATACGACTGTGACGTCATATCTTTTGCGTCACAATGAGCGATATGATGTCATAATGGTGACGTGCGATGTAGAGCGAAAGCCTTGCAAAGCTTGCTTTGTTTTCTTTAGGGATGCCCACCTCATGTTAGCTTACCAAGTTGCCGTGCGTATATGCTTTCAATGCCTGTCATATGTTCGAGTGAAGTATTACGGTGTAAACAAACTGCTTGAGTATATACAGCACCATATTTTGTTCGGTGATTCCGTAATTCAGATCGATAACCCACTCAAAACACTGAAGTATATTTGCTAATACCCAAGAGTTCGCATTTTATTTAGTTCGGTTCCAAATTCAATTTAGCAGGGTTAAATCTACAGGTAACCTAGCTCTACATTGAAAACACAGTATGTTTATCTCCAAAATGGCACGAATAAAAAGATTACATTTCCTTCATGGGTGATTCTCACAAGTATCTGCTTACCAACATGGGCATACTAAGGTGGGGAGAGTCTGAGACAGATAGATTTTTTCAGTCAAGACTTCAAGAGATATACCTTTCTGCAAAAGAGAGCCAAACAATAGCTTACTAAGCGACAAAACCCTTACCATACTGATAAGAAATCTCTGCCAAAAACAGTCGATTGTACGATTGCAATGTTATGAGTCGAGTCTGACCACCTGAAGTCACCTCTTGGGGACAGCTGGGGCCCTATTCTAACCTGGGAATCCAAGCGTTGTTATGAAGAGAACAAAAACTGACCGAAATGATATTTTAACAATCTAAAGCAGAATCCCAGACAAGCAGTCTGCCCCTTAGCATCGACAAAACGTTTCCATAATCATAAAAAAATATGTTCATTGTTCGATTGCGACTATATATCACGAGCTTGTGTTTTTGAATTATTATCAACAAGTGATGATAACAGGTGTACGCGTAAAGAACACGGCAAATATTATTGCCACGTCAAATATTTGGCTTCACACACTGAATCGTTGATATGAATCGAACCCACATTGTCGGAATGATGAGTCAGTGCTGTAATTGCTGGATAACCTCACCAATCGGGTTTCATTGAAAATATAATACTGCATTAAATATTTGTATTTCAAAATGGATCAGCAATAATTGCCAATTAACTACTGTTTACATGCACCACTTGATTTATTTTAGCAGAAATATATTATATACATAAATCTTTATATATTTCTTTGTTTCCATTGCGCACCTTTTGTCTCTGGTGTAACGCAGAGTGCGATGACCCAGCCTCCACAGACCTGCCCCAATACACCTTCTGCCTTCTCTTTGACTGGGATCAATCCCGGGACTGGATAAGCAGGAAGCTGTTCCTATCAAACAATCAGTGTTCCCTGATGAAATCAGGAAATTGTCAAGACATACAGGGCAATCCTGTCACTTTGGATTAACAATAATTGCCTTCTCCATTCAGCTCTATTTTATATATACCCCTTGATGTGTTTTAGCACAGATATCATACTAAGTGTCTGTTTGTGTTCGTTATTTCCAAAGCAGATCAATACCGCATTGGCATTGTCAGGTTATTCTCACCTCTTGTATCTGGTGGTATGCCCCAATACACCTTTTTCCTATCTTCTAACACCAGACAGGAAGCGCTTATATCAACAGATGGAAGTCATGTTTGGATGACCATAGACCAATATATTCATTATGGTGGACCTTTAACAGACACTTAGTGTGTGTGTGTGTGTGTGTGTGTGTGTGTGTGTGTGTGTGTGTGTGTGTGTGTGTGTGCATCTATCGACCGTATGGCGAATGCAGGTTTTGTTGTACGTGCGTGCCATTTTGTTCGAAAAAGACAAATTATACCATTATTAAATCTGCCAATTGGAGTTATAATAAATAATGGGTATTCTAACGTTTGTGTAAGTTCACAGACTTTTAGGTTAGTAAAATGTAGATTCTGTACAGAATAAGAAAGAGGTGTACCTCCATCTGAGATATCCCCAGCGTTGCCTAACTCTTCTACTGTTATTCAGTGGCAGAGAATTAGGGGGTAATGCATGAATAGAGAGATCAGTATGATCAAAAACATAGTTGGTATGACAATTGTTGACATAAGGCAAGTCATGTAGCATATCAACTGGTTTCATCATTTGTGTTGGGGTATCACATGTGTCATTAAATGCAAATGACGCAATTCATCTTGGATGAATGATAGGTCCATTCCACCAGTTTACACCAATACCATCAGAAGAACGGTCACAAGTGTCAGTCTTTCCCTTACCTGATTGCTGGTTGTATTATCATTGGAAACAGGGGGCTGACACCCAAGACCACCGTCGTGACCCTATTTCCAGCTGTTATACCTAGTGTCTCAGGCGCATTACTGAGTCTGTTTTCAATATAAGGTTTGTCCACAAGTACTTGTGCTGTGATCTCTCCTGGCTTCTCTCAGTGACGGCATCGGTACATCAGGTGAGGTGAGGTGAAATGGGGTTTAACGTCGCGTCCAAGATTATTGCAGTTATATAGCGACGTGCATGTACGTGTGTGTATTTGTGTGGCTGCTTGTACTAGTCCGGACATGCCGATTTATAGTGCTAGCTCACTGAGACACCATGCCGCAGTTTAACATGAATACCCCACTCAGACACAGTATACTGACTCCGAGCCGACCGGTCCGTTTTAGTCCCTTAATACCGAGCGCCTGACAGGGTAACAACAAGTACCATCTTTTAATGTCATTTGGTATGACGCGGTCGGGGATCGAACCCCGGACCTTCCGCTCTCCGGGCGGACGCTCTACCACTAGACCACGGAGGCGGTCTCGGTTCATCAGAATTCAACGCAGTTCCAGGTATGTTGGCGAATACGAGGTTATGTCTCATGCTGCTACACCTGGTATCAATATGGGATTCAGCCTTCAGCGAAGATTCCCGTTGGCTTGAGTGACCGATAACATATTAGAGCGTAAAACAACACTCGTACACTTTACAAACTACTGTTGCCGGTTTCGATGGGACTCCACAAACGACGGCTCCTACCTCTGCTTCAGAATGGGTAACACATTTCAGGATGATCAAACTCACGCAAGTTTTTTACATGTGCAATACTCTGTGACAGGGATCGGGATTAAGGAGGTTTCTGAGTATGTATGTACAATAATCAGTGACATCGGTCAGTACTCAAGATGTGTTTGAGTATGTATATGTACAATTATAAGTCACAAGGGTCAGGACCAAAGAGGTTTCTGAGTATATATGTGCAATAATCAGTCACAAGGGTCCATACCAAAGAGGTTTCTGAGTATATATGTGCAATAATCAGTCACAAGGGTCAGTACCAAAGAGGTTTCTGAGTATATATGTGCAATAATCAGTCACAAGGGTCAGGACCAAAGAGGTTTCTGATTATGTTTGTACAAAAATCAGTCGCAAGGGTCAGCTCTCAAAATGTTTCAGTGTATGTATGTGCAATACTCCCTAACATGGCCTGGACTAAAGACATTTCAGTGTGTGCATTCACAATAATCAGCCCGGACTAATGCCGATTTTATAGTGCTAGCCAACTAAGATACCATGCTGCAGTTAAACATGAATACACCACTCAGACATAATATACGGACTCCGAGCCGGCCAGTCCTTGCTTTAGCCCCTTAATGCCGAGTGCCAGACAGTGTAACAAGAAGTACCATCTTTCAACGTCTTTTGGTATGACGCGGCCGGGGATCGAACAACGGACCTTCCGCTCTCCGGGCGGACGCTCTACCTCTAGACCACGGAGGCAGAAATTATGAAGGAGCCAGATTAAGATTATCGATGCATTAAGGATGTAACGCTATGCTTTCTGTCACCCCTGTTCGGTGACCTAATCCAGTCATATGAGAAGGTGAATAGTGATGAGGCCATACTTTTTGTATTTGCTTTGCGGATTTGTTTTACAGGAAAATACCTGTCTGTAGGTGGGAGAAAGAAATTTGTAATTCAATTTTTTAAAACTTTTCTGCTCCACTGCAGATCGGTAGGTATAACAAAATAAAAATGGCTTACTGTGGGAGTAGAACCTGCAACACAGTTGTTGCTTTAAACAATGCAAACCTGACGAATCAAGCGGAAATACTGTTGTGCATCTGATTCCTATCAGTTTCAGGAACGACAACAAACTATATTTTGACTCCAATGTTTAATGTATGTCATCTTCAGTGGGTCCTTGTTTCGAAAATTCTTTTTTGCCAAATCTTATCATAATAATTATTTTTTTCAATTTCAACAAAATTTACAATCGGCGGATCCGTAAAGGGAGGATAACAGTGTGTCTCAAGCGCTGTCTGGTGAAACTTTCTAGCTAATCTCAGATCCTAGAGGCTTGCGGACATATAGATCAGAAGGGTCGTCGTCAATGACAGCACCGAGGTTGATGACCCTCCATTCTTGCCAGAGGGACATGGAACTAGGGATGTTGTAGTCGGTGCCACAGTTGTAGTGGCTGGCTGGCAAACTGATGACCCTGAAAAATACAGCTTTTCTCCGTAAAATGTCTGTTTCCGTCAACCGAGTTCCTGGCTTGGTTGATGCACGTCTTCGTATCCCAATTACCTTGATCGATGAGCATGATGTCAATCATTGAATTGTCTGGTCCAGACTCGATTATTTACAGACCGCCGTCATATAGCTGGAATATTGCTGAGTGCGGCGTTGATAAAACGGTATCGTAATGTACAGTTTTAATGATAAAGAGGCTGCTCTAACGGTTAAAATTGAAGTGGAAATGGATAAAGTTGAAATGGAAACGGACGGGCAGATGCAAACAATAAAAATAAATGCTTTTGAGTACAACTGTTACTCACAATTTGTGGTCCATGTGATAGTTATTGTACCATATTCGAAGTGTGTTGTTGATGAGAACTTCAGAATCCGAAAAAGCAGTTTTTCGTCGGAAAGAACAAAACAATTTCCTTCCTTCGTAGGCACGGTGGATCAATCGAATGGCTGAAGCGTTCACTTGAGCGGCAATAGACACTCAATAGACACTTAATTCCCTCTCAAAATTAATGTCGTCCTATATTTACGAAGTCATCAAGTTACGAGCGCATGATCGAATCTCCAGAAGTGACGTTATGATAGAACAATGTTTTATCGTGAAATAAACCACGATTCGTTCTTCATTGTACTGTGCTCTTTATTGCGTAGCTATCTTATATCGTATTATATTCGAAGTGCAGGGGTTAGTGTGTTGGTGATGAGATCTTCAAAGACCGAAAAAACAGTTTTTCGTCGGAAAGAACGAAACAATCAGAGTTATTTCCTTCCCTCGAAGGGCGGTGGGCTAACCGAATGGTTGAAGCGTTCACTAGTTACGACAAAAGCCCAGGTTCGATTCTCATTATGGGTACAATGTCTGGTGCCCCCGTTGTAATATTGATGGAAAATTGCTCACTCTTTTCTTAGCATATCTGTGCGATTACATAGAACGCGGATGTTGTTTATGAAATTTCGTTAAGTGTTTTCCAGGATGAGATTATAATACTACTCAAAGGAAGCTCACGAACACCCGAATCGTGTGTTCTGTAACTTCTTTTGAGCAATATATATTTAATATAGAAACATATTTATAGTTTGAAACAAAACGTTTTCTCGGCGGGACGGCGATTAAGGATTTGCGTGAGATACACAAACATTTAAGACGTCCTTAGACCTTCTTAAAGACATTCTTGTCAAGGTTAAGAAACTTAATAACCTGTTCATCTGGCAAGTCTAGGCTAATTATGTGACAAAGATTTGACTTGGGTGATGTAGTCTGATCCAGACAATCTAGTGATTGATATTATGAGAATCTATGCACTCCGGCAGGGTACGATGACACGCTTTCAACCCAGTCAGAGCCTGACTGCCCGTTCGATTTAGTAGCCTCCTACAACCACGAGTGGTTGGTGGAAACCGATTCTAATCCGCAACACAACGTGTTGTAAACTTTTACATAACATAGCTACGCGATAAATCACAAAGAACAAAGAAGAACGAAGCATGGTTTTGTTTCACAACATAAAAAGATTCTCTCATGACGTCATTTCTGGAGATTCGAACATAAGCTCGCAACTTGATGACGTCGTAATTGGACGACGTTATTTTTGAGAGGGAAGTGTCTAGTGAGTTATTCCCGTAGATACAGCTGGGCAACGTAGATGAACGCAGTGGCCGAACGATCGCATCCAAAAGTGGGAGAGATATGGTAATCGGTATTGGGAGAAAAGGTACAGATAATCGACCTGCAAATTGTGAGAATATGTGGGAAAGACCAAATTTAAACCCCCTGTTCATAAAATGGACTTGTCTGCCATTGCCGAAGGTCGGATTCTATTCTGGCAGTAATCATTTTTTAAATATGAGTAAATATTTTGAAAGCTTGTACATTTTATTAACGTCTTTAAAGAGGTTGTACATAATATTGACATCTGATATAAGAAATAAACGACTCGTAGTCGTTGTTTAACGTACAATAAAACGCTGCAATGAGAATATACCACTCGGGGTTACACCCCTCATGGATATTCTGCCTGCAGTATTTTATTGTCGATAAACAACGACCACGTGTCATTTATTTCTTCATCAATTTATTATAGACTCACCAAGCTTCCACATCGCTGTTCGGGCGGAACTCAACTCCATCTTGGCGAATGGTGGGTTGTTGAATAGGCTTTCCATCCCTTCTACATAAAAACCTGTTAGGCCACCTGTCTCCACTGTGCAACCGTCTCCAAAAAACATTTTAGGGATAGTTTGTAGGAAACTTCTTTTTATCCAGAATGCTTTATACCCAGAGCAGTAGTCACCGGCCGAGAAACTAATTTCCGCGCTCGATGAGCAACTTTCCCTGTAGCAGGCATACGGTGTCGACTTGTTGGCATGCTCTGAAAGTTCTAGTTTGACGGAATAGGTGGCGATCTCATCAAGTAGTGTTACGTTTACAATCCCACAGGACATTACCTCGAAGAAGAAATAATCTGACTGGTTGTTCAAGAACACATGGGAAGGTGTAACAAACGTCGTCACGCCTTTGTATGTCTCGAGCAGGATGCCGTGTACACTTGTATCTGGAGGAAAGGGAAAGGAAATATCAGTTCAGTTCCATATGGAGCATCTACATGAAGGTTGGATGGATGAGTGAGTAATGTAGATTTAACACGGCTTTGTACACTATTTCGGCACCATCACGCATGGCAGTTTAATGTGGAAAGAAAACTAGAAGTACTCATTATATTCCTCACATTCTAAATCATTTACTTGTAGAATGGGCGAGTGTTTGTCACTTTGTTTGCTTGTATTTTAACGCCGCAATATTTAAACTATAGGATGGCGGTTTGTAAATAATCGAGTCTGGACCAGACACTTAAGTGATGTACATCATGCACATTGATCTACGCAATTGCGATACGTTGACATGCATCAACCAAGTCAGCGAGCCTGTCCACCCGGTCTCGTCAGTCGCTTCTTACGACAAGCATGGGTTGCTGAAGACCGATGGTAACATGGCAGTTTTCATTCAAACGTTTCATGTTAAGGCAGCTGGCTTGTAAAGAATGGCTTCATTGAATTATGTTTCCTCTTTTTCAATTGTTCATTCTAATAATGATAACTTACTGACTTAACCTACCCTGAAAGACATTCAACATTCTTCTGTTTTAGCCCATTTTTATATGCTTTGACAGCATTAGTAAAGCTGTTATCCCAGTTGGAAGCAGGTTACTAACACTATTTTGGGCTGCATTTGAATAACTGAAGAATTGTTGGCAACATATATAGAAATGCACCTAACATTATACGACCAATAGGTTGGTTGCAGTATGATGAGTTTTGGCTGGCACAAGTTCCCATTATTGAACAACTTGGATGAACTGATGTTTGTATAGGAAAATGGACCTGTTGGTTGTTCCTGACATTTGTAATATCTGGGACATTATGGGAAACCTAATTAAATTTAAAATATCATTTCATTTTTCTGCAGATGTCAAAGTGTGAGGAACAAGCTGTCTTTTGTCTGATTAAGTAGCGTGTGTGTCTGGCCTGTCGAAACTGTTGGCTCTTATTGTTTGTACATTCATCCACCAGTGAAAGTTTCTGGATTCGTTTGATTTCTCACAATTAGAATAATCTTGTTCCAAAACAACATAGTTGAATGGGCATGTTCGAAGTGCAAAGGTAAAAATTAAGGACAAAATCAAAATACAGGAAAAACACGGAGCATATACCTGTAGCCCCTCTACACAGTACGTGTAAATTTGACTTCATTATCTCTGCAAATGTTTGTCCAATAATTGAGCCACACATGGCTATTGCAAATCGGTTAAAACTTCCCCAATCAAGTTTTGATGTGATCATCGGAAAGACCATGTGTTCAGGTATCTGCTTATCGCTTTTTCGCCGCACTGAGCACTATCTGAGCTATATGACGATGGCCTGTACATAGTGAAGTCTTGACCAGACAGTCCAGGGATTGATATTGTGTCCAAAGATCCAGGAGCGTACCGTCTCGGTACAATGACACATACATGTATGTCAGCCAAGTCTGACTACCCAAGCCATTTGGTCGCCTCGCACAACCAGCATATGTCGCTTGGGACCTATATTATTACCAGGAATAGACGGGTCAGATAATGTTTACAGACCATGCATGACGGATATACAGATCGATACACATGTAAGCATTCCAATTGGACAAAGCTAGTTTGGTTCTAAAGGTAGGACAGACGTACGAAGAGCCATGACATAATACCATAGTGAGATATCAGCATAAGTTCCAGGGAACCAATATTATTACCTTGAATACAATGGTCAGAAAATGTTTACAGACCCACCAGACGGATAAATAAGTCGACATAAGCTCCCTTGCCCTTTCAGGGATTCCAGTTAACAATAAGCTGAAGATTTTACCTTTTTGTAAATAAAGCAGCAAAACCCTTTGTCGATTGTTCGATTCCGACTTTTTCATGAGCATGTGTAATTAATCACTACCAAATCGTAATGATACCAGGTGTTCGCGAAAAGGTGAGCGTATCCTGCCCCACCGGTGGCACACCCGTCACCAAACACACGCAAAGGAACGTCAATTATGCACCTATAAAACTCACGGGCACATATGGTACAAGTTCAAATAGGGCATAGCATCGGAGATTATTTTTGCCACGATGCGTCAAATTTAGAAATGTCCTCCACATGTATACCATGAAACTTTTAAAAGCTTTACTGAGGCCTTGAATGTTGTAACCTTGATCAAACAACTTCTGATGAGCAAGAGTCATATGACGCTCTTTGAAATCTTGGTAGAAAGAGCATGCTCGATTGTATTTCAAAAGGTGTAAAGTGTGAACACCTAAGACAGGGCTAATCCGAGCCGAAATTCCGATTCATATGCATCAACAAACAGATCCGCAAAAAGTGGATCACCATTGGTCCCCATTGGGATGCCTTCGTGTGGCCTAAATGTCTTACCCCTAAATGTTACATAATGTTATCAATGAGCAATATATCTCTCTTTATACGGATTTTTATTGAGCTTTGGAATCTAGTACACAAGAGGAATTGACGTCTTCAGGTTTCTGGTCAAAAGTTGACAGGACTGATTTATGGTTTTGGCAGATGTCTTCCTCAGTTAACATACTGGCCTTATTTGTAGAATTATTTGATATGTCATTTATACCAAGTACAAAAGGAGAAGAGATAGTTCAGTGCTGACGGAAGAACAGACGGACGAAGACCCATGACATAATCTCACACTGACTTTGTCAAAATGAGATACATATGAGAGCAGGTCATGCAAACCAGTACACAACAGCATGTACAACGACCCAAATGTAGTCTAAAACTAAAACTAAACGCGGTCCCATATGACATTCAAGCGAGAGTTGCGACTACTAGGATACCCCAAACAAGTCTCACCAGACAAGACTGCTAACAGAGCGCCTAGCTTCAGGATGATCATGGCGCCGAGATCTTCGTATCTTCACTGTGTATGTTTGTATGCATATAATGTACTTCTCCGTCACCTATATAGCAGTAACCTGTTCGTGGTAAAATACAATCTACACTTAATTCAGTAAACTGAAACTCAGGTAAGATTCGTTTGATCCAGGAAGGTAGTTATAGACGTTATCGCACTCTAGCATGCCTTGTGTACTTGAGGACTCTGTTGAGACAGGTGATGGGGTGTATAGAAATACTGTGACTGGAAGTGTCGTGATAGCATGAGTAATTAGAGATTTGTTTCAAATCCCACATCTGCATGTCGAAAGTCAATTGTCAGTATGTTTTATTGACAAATGACACGTTGACCGATCACCATCTCATGGATATTGTAAATCAAAGTGCGTTCTGAAGGCGTACTAACATCTTGTGGAATTTTATTCTGTTGTAAAGATTAGGCTCTTTGGATATTGTTCCAAAGTGTGAGGATATATAGGGGATTTATCTGTTTTGATTAGGAAAAAGATTGTTAGGAAAAAGTAGTGGCATCCTGAACTTAAGGAATACAAGCTACTTACTTTTTTCTATAGACAACATTCTGACTAGAGCACGTTTTAAGAGCTAAAGGACCACCAACATCTAAACACCACTGATAAAGGGCACAAGTGTTTCCTTGTTTCCTTTCCTCGTAAATGGTTAAGTAGTGTCCTAGTACATCTGTCATTAAATAAAGTATGAATGAGAAGTTGTCAATATATGGCGACCTGTAATCAAGTGATTGCTTAATATGAGGAGGAACTGTCTTACCAATCACCAAGTCACCGAGTCTTATCACCATTACGTCGTCTGGTACGAGAGGCATAGGTTGCTTGGGGTATATTTAGCCTAGAGTCCCAAAGGGACTTGAAGAATAATATGAAGTTAAACCTGAAGAAGCATAAGATGTGTATGTTAAGAACATCACCGCATGTGATGCTATACCATAGTGTCCTGAGGGTAATTTGGTCGTGAGAATCCACGAAACAAACAAACAAACAAACAAATTGATGTGAGGTTGGTTCAGTCACTCGATGTGGTAACATAACCGGTACACCATGTGGGAGATCAGTCATCATCTGTCTGTGTGACAAGGCAGGTCAAGGAGTCCTTGTACAGTTACTCGGTGAACATAACCTGTAATATATTTATGATTTAACATTAAAATATTCTGTATTTTGTTGCTGTGTATGATCCTCACGATTATCACTGAGGCATCTTATTTGTCTCATCTAAGCTTCGAGCAGTTGTGAGAAATACTGAAATATGCACGATATACGATGTGTGATTGAGACGTTGTGAACTTCACACATAAATACCTTACATAAAGACATTAACATGGTTATTTTTCTATACAACTTGACACATTGATACACTTTTGCTGACGATGTGGAAGACATTTAATCCCAGTTTCGTACTCCTTCTCTTGCTGTGAACAACTTTCTCCGCGGCTGCTATTACGTCATCGTTCGAGTCTACATGGGTTCTGGCTAGAGGTATCTTTATATTTGGGAACAGATGGAGGTCAGAAGGTGCCAGACCAGGAAAATAAGGTTGGTGCTGACCGAGTCGAAAGCCTGCACTCATTGAGTGTAGACATGTCATTACTGTTTTGAGCGCTGGTGCATTGTCTCAATTGAAGAACACACGCGAATCTTAGTCTTAATGTCATCCCGTAATTGTATCGGAAGAACAGTATGATATGCTGTTTATTGTTTGGTCTTTTGAAATTTAGCCCATCATGAAAACGCCCTAAGCATCCAAGAACATGGAGGTCATAGCCTGTCCAGCTAATGAAACGGTATTTGCCTTCTTTGTTGGTGGGGATGTCAAATGCTTCCGTTGATTTTAGTTTTGTTTGGACTCAGGCTGGAAGAGGTGTACCGAGGTTTCATCAATACTAAAAATCGTTTAAAGAACCTTTCTGGATCTGGAGTTTAACTCCAGCTTCGGGTATATCGATTATAGCATATTTCCTTCCACTGATTTACCCACCTGAGCACGAATTAAAAGAAATCAATGATACCGCCCCATCAGTTTGATATATTGATCTATGCAAAAAGTCAGAGTGACTGTAAACTATCCACAATACTGTATTCGAAAATCAAACCCAAATCGTATATTGACAAGAAACTTAACTTTAGCTTAAGGTATATTGTTGATCTGAATATGATTCAATGATGGTCCAGTAGCCAGTTCCATTTAACTGATTTACCCATCTGAATTCGTGATTAAAGATCATAAGATCATAACCATCTTCAAATAGATAGCAGGTGGCCAAAACATATGCAAGCAATTTTGTATTATTTAGGCATATTTCGTTCAAGTACAGATCAACACTACATTTGTGTTGTAAAGGCATAATGGTGTATAAGTACACGGCTTTACACCTAAATGCAATTTTCTGTTGAGCTTGAAAACATATACAGGGGAATAAAAGCGACACAATATTTTTCATAATCATCAGAAGAGCAGAGTCCAATGAACCACATCAACGAGCCTGACCACCCGATCCATTTGGTCGACTCTTTTGACTGTCAGAGGTTTCTTGGGACCCGTATAATTCTAACCCGTAATCTCCACGAGACATATCTGTGTGAAATAATACTTATAGTCTATATCGATTTTACATGTCTAACCATCGTATTTTATTTAGATTTAATCTGTCTTTCCCGGGGCGGTAGGGGGTAGCCATCCCACTGGATGAAAGCTTCCCTTTATATGAATACGGTATGTAGACCAGACAGTCCAGTGATTTGACATTAATCAACGCAATTGAGATACGACAAACTGCGATAAACTATATCCAACCACATGGGCCATGTAGTAGACTCTGACGACACGTTATATATTTTATATTCTCACACGGAATCCTCATAGGTAGTTTTCTTTTCAATAAAACTGATGTCGTGCCCATAATTAAAATCGCATTTTAACCTCTTGTAGAAATTGAGTCGTCATCATTGGTGGGAACAAACCTGTGAAATAAATGCTTCATTGCATCAGTGGTTTCGGGATGGTTTGTACAAGACAAGTCAACTAGAATTAATATGTATGTCTTTTGGAGTGGCTTAAGGTATTCCCTGTATAATGGGACACTTCCGGTGAAAACTACGACTTTTGCCGATGTTTCCAACATCGGCAATGTTCGGGTGATGTAATACCGAGTAAGAGTTATGCCCCTTATTGTAAACAATCATGGCGACTGACAGAGATAGCTGTGGTCGATTCAAAAAGAAAAAGACCGGTAATCACACCAAAATATTAAAATCGAACGTGCTCATCGACCACAACTACCCAGCTTGTCATGTTTGCTACGGTGATCCTTGCAAGGACGACGACTGTCCACTTTTTCGAAACATCAAACTCGGCAAATACGCAAGCAGAGATGGATGGAAAGAAGGGCGGAGGATCGTCGAGCTCGGGGAACTTCTCTCAAATCTCGTCGCTTGCAAGTACTGCAAATTGGGCCCTATTCCATTAACGTATGGGAATATTGTCGGTGAGATGAGGAAAGGACTTAGCGGCTATTTGTACGTGAAATGTCAGAACGCGGAATGTGGGCAAATAAACATGGTTCCATACGGGAAGACACACAGGGAGAAGAAGGGGAAGTCAGGGATGCCATGTTTTGTTATCAACACAAAGCTTGGATATTTATTTACAGCTATGATCGATAGCGTTGGGGGACCAGACAGAATGAATAATCTCCTTTCGACATTAAATATCAAACCCATCAACCAGAGAAGTTTAAAAAGCATGGAACGGAGGGCTGGAGGCTATGTTGAAGCTGTTGCCAAAAAGTCGACTCAACAGGCTGCAAATGATTCATTTAGAATGGAGATGGAGTAAGTTCTATACAATGTCATAGCAATGTTTGTTTATGAAACTAGTCATTTGTGTTCAAACCAATTGTTAATAACACAAGGATACAATAAACATGGTGGATACTCTGAATCAAATGAATTAATTGTTTAATGACAACTGAGTGTGTAGATATTGTGGAAATCGTCGAATATAAACAAAGAATATCATCTCATATTGGTGTCGGATATTAAAAAAAAAAAAATTTGAATTTGGAATTCCTTTTTCACTTTGATGCTCTTGGTCTGCCTTTAACCCATCAGGTTTATTTCTTTGGTACAGAGACATTGCAGAAGAGGAGAGTCGACAAGCTGCAAAGATCATGGGGGAGGTGATCGAAGATTTAGGAGTTTGTCCTCTACCAGACGCACCTCCTGAAATTAGGTCTATTCTTTTCTATATATTTTTAGTATGTACATGTATAGCTTGTGTTGAATAGTGGGAGATATGTTCAGATGGAAATAAGATTATTTTGAAAATATTCCATTGTACAATGTATATGCAACTATTGTATATCATTTAGAAACAACAAGACACTTTTCCATAGGTTCAGTATTTCTGTGGGACATGGAAGATCAATCCATCAGATGGGACTGTAGAGTAAGTGGTTACATGAGTGAAATTGTTTTAGCACATAAAAGAACCAATATTAATTCGGATTGGTTCTTTGCATTAGTAAAATGTGTTTGCAGCTAAAAAGTTATACAGTTAAATTCCTCCACCACAGAAGTTAAACAATAACTGATCTCAAACAAACATTTTGACAATACATGAAAACAATTTATAATTCATTTTTAATATTTCAGATTATTGATGTCATCCTACTCCTCTACTGTACCAGTAGTTGAGGCTAGTTCTGGTGATGAAAGTGGACATTCTTACCAGACTCCTCAAGCATCGAATATGGAAAGTCCACCAGTCTCATGTTCAAACAGGTGAGAATTTTGAAAAAAATTCAGCACAAACAATAGTTTTATTTGATCATGTAGCCAAGTGCATGATTGAGAGTTTAACCAACTAGGCACGCAATCAAAATGTTGCCGGTTCTAATCCTAGCAAACCCACTTGATGATACTCGTTGTGTCCTTAGACAAGTCACTTTATCTGCATTGTCTCAGCCCACCCAGCTGTTTTTTGCCATCGACTTCGACTGCAGGTTAACCTGCAATGGTTCACTGGTGTAACATCCAGGTGGGGGGACCTTATCCTAAGAGCACCAAGGAAACTGGGTATAATCACAGACCTTATTAGGGGCGGTCGGGTAGCCTAGTGGTTAAAGCGTTCGCTCATCATGCCGAAGACCCGGGTTCGATTTCCGACATAGGTACAATGTGTGAAGCCCATTTCGGGTGTCCCCCGCCGTGATATTGCTGGAATATTGCTAAAAGCAGCGTAAAACCATACTCACTCACAGACCTTATTAGCTTTAGCTATGAAAGGATTTAACTTTTAAAATGTACATGCTGTATTTGATTCATATTTTTGTATTGGTATGCCAGACATGATGAACATTTATTGATGTGTATCAAAGTTTTCTTTTTATGTGTTTCAGTGTAAACACTCCATCAAATCTAGCCAGCCTTGTTGCCAAAATAAAAGAAATTCCTCAGGCCCCACACAAACAACCCGGCAAGAAGATCTTAACATCTAAGAAGCGTGTGAGACTTGCATCAAGATTTCCATGCAAGACCAGAAGTGGAATGTCTTGTGCAGTTGATACAGCCTGGCATAAAAGGGGATTTGACAGTCTTACATGTAAGTATATTAAGAAATTTGAGGCATTATTTTGTTATTATTACTTTACACAACACTTTGGAATATTTCACCTATATGACAGTGGCCAGTGATGAGTGATTGAGAAACGGTAGAACCCATGTGACTTTCAGTAGGTACTGTGGCGGACCTTCCCATAAAGGTAGAAACATGAGGAGAAAGACTATATGTTCCATTGTAGCACCTTAGTCCACTGGGCCAACGAGGCCCACCCTCACCTTTATTATAATGATTCTGTTTGCCTAAAAATATACTGACATACATGTGCCTCAGCAATTATATTTTAAACATGCAACCAAACTTTTTAACTTTATTTTTAGCACACACGTTCTTCATGAGCAAGGCCAAATATGGAAAGAAGGTAGTTAAAGCACTAGTGGGTCACCGAACATGCGGCACATGCAAGTGGTGGATGAGGAATAGACCTGGACTACCAATCCGAAAGCACAGATGTGTCCTAAATCACTTCGGTAGTGCTCGGTTAATGGAGTGTAAAAGTGGGGTTCAAGGCATCAAGGAGCTTTCTGAGGGTGGGACTCCTGTTGATTACCTGGAAGGAGACGGTGATAATACTATGATTGCTCATATCAAATCAGACTTGAACATTACCATGAAAAAACGGTTTGATAGAAATCACGTCGTGAAAAACATAGGGAAAAGCTTATATGCCTTGCAAGGAAAAAAGCTCAGTAGGAGTGTGATTATGCACATTCAGAAATGTCTCAAATATGCATTCGCCAAAAACCAAGGGAACAAGGAAGGACTGGAGAAAAATCTCAAAGCGTTGATTCCTCATCAATTTGGAGATCACAGTTTATGTTTTCCCAGATTCTGTGGCTTCAGACGTACATCATCAAATGAGAAGTATACTCATAAAAGTTTACCCTACAAAGCAGCTCTCAAAGATGATGAACTACAGTCAAAGCTGAAAAAACTGTTCAAGCCAGTTATTGCTAATGCTGAACAATATGCTGATTTAGGCTCTAGTCAACAGTGCGAACATGCAAATCGCGAAGTCACATTGAGGGCACCAAAATCTTTGCATTATGGAAATTCAGAGTCCCTGGACTTTCGTGTTGCAGCAACAACAGCCTTTATTAATGAAGGACGAAGCTATGTGTCTGAGGTATATATTCAACATATTTTATTGTTGTTTGTTTTGCAAAAATGTGATTCAACTTTGCTTTTGTTTTCTTTTGATGCATGCTTTTTCATGTTTATTTTAAATGTTTTTGAATTTATGTTGGTTTTTCTTGTTTTTTGTATTTGTAGACTTTCAAAGCAGGGTTACAGTTCCAGTGTTGTAAGTTTGTTTTGTATTTTTCAATGAAATACATGTTACAAAAATATTTTTTTATAAAGTATTCATTTAAATTGTAAAAATAAATTAATAAAAGGCTCCTAAGTAAAAGATTGTCAGAAACAGAACAACAGCATACTATTTTGTTCAGGCTGTGTCAGCAACTCATCCTTCTATTTCAGGTCAACATGGCAGCAGGAATTTCTCCCGGGACATTTTCTGTAAAATATGCTGCTAAGCAAATGAAGCGCAGAAAACGTGTACAACGAAAATCCCAGTTACCCTCAACAAAAAGAAGACGTGTTACCCTGAAGCAGGAACGTGTAATCGCACAGGGAGCCAATGAAGTGTTAGAAGGGACCACTTATGAGTCAGGTAAGTTTCATTTTCATTAAACAAAGAAAACTAACAAAACGCTTGTTTAAACTTTATTTTTGCCGACTTCCTCTGACTGCAAATAAATATAAATAAAAAATAAGTACCATATGGAAAAGTTTTACTTTTTATTACAGTACTTATTTCATTTCACAGGTATTGGGCATACCACTAATGTAGATGTTGAGCAGTTACCTGAAGCAGTACCCCGTGGGAAATTCGCGACTGTATCAGCTGGCAAAGAAGCTACGGTTATTACATTTGACTTGGAGACAACAGACCTAAGTAAGTTTGAATTGATTATTCATCTTTGAATGAACTTTTTGAATGATTACACATTTTTTATTTGTTGTGCCAATAGGTCTGTGATTAGTAAAGCATCACCTAAATAAGCATCAAGTGATACATGTACTTATATATCATATTGTATGTACTTGGATTTTAAAGCTTGAACTTTTTTTCAGTACGTGGAGGAAAAATGCCACATATCACACAGATTGCAGCTTCAGATATGGAAACAGGAAAGGGATTCTCAACCTATGTACTTCCAAAAGTACCAATCTCAACTACAGCTCAACAGGTTACTGGTATCATAGTTAATAATAGTGGTACAATGACGGTCAATGGGAAACAAGTTCAGCCTGAAACTGTTCAGTTTGCAGTTGACAAGTTTTGTAAATGGCTCAGTGGGTTTCCCAATGTACATCCAGTGTGAAGCACAATTTTTCAACTGTGTATCAGGTCTTATTGATAGCCTACCTGTCTTCAAGAAGGCCTTTCCTGGACAATCGTCATACAAGCAAGAAGAATTAGCCAAGACCTTTTTGCACTCATCATATGAAGCACACAATGCCATAGAAGATGTAAAGGTCCTTGGTAAGCTTGTATCTCACACAAAGATGAAAATTCAGGAACTTGCTAGGTACAGTTTCCCACCATCAGCAGTCCACAATCTACTTCTCTTCAACAAAGAAAAGGCCAAACATATCAAAACACTCCATTCTCTCTTAGCCCAAGGTGTCATGAAAATGTCAATTGCCGAGAAAATTGCCGGATCAGGACTGAATCTGGGTCACCTGCGCAAAATTTTTCAGCGTGATGGAGAAGATGGTCTTCGCAATACTTTTACATGTAAAAACTCTGAGGGACAGCCACGTGTGACAGATGTAAAGAAAACCCTTGACGATGTCATTCCGAAATTAGTCCTCTTTTTCTGAACAAGGACTAAACCAAGCAACAGATGGTTTGTTCTTTCAAATTTGTCATCTTCTGATGGTTATGTTAGTCAGAAATCGTTTCTGTTCAGGTCTGACTGATAAACTTGATGTTGATGTATATGTGAAAATAGAAATGCTTGATGACATGCTTTTGTTGTCTCTGGGTGCAGATGTTCATGACTAAGTTGATTATGATACTTGGAATACATGATACTGTCTCTTTGAATTTTAGAGAAACACCTGATGTATATGTATGTACTAGACACATGCGCTCTTCTGCTCCCAATTTGTACATTGTAAATTGTGTATTCATGAGTACTGTATCGCATGCTTTCATTGTATATGGTCACGTAATATAAAAATAATGTATTGTAAATAGTGTATTTGCCTATCTATCATCTTTGCTTTCAAATCTGTAAGAAATACAGAAATATATTTATTCATTCATATCTTTATTAGAAATGACTCATTGACATGTACATGGGTTTGACATTTCAATTGTGTAATTTTCCAAAAAATCCCAATAACTTCACATTCTTGAGTAGTATTGTCATGTAAAGGACAATTTCGCAAGTTGAGAATACAGGGGAAAAATCCAAGTGCTTTATGAGAGAGAGATTTTCTTTATTTGAAGTAAATATATGTAATTCTCACATGTATTACTCATTTGTTCTTAAGGCTCATTCCCTGCTACAATATAATAACAGTTCCATGGTGAAATGACGCACGTTGCTTGGTTGTTTTTATGTGAACTGCTGCAGGCAAGGCCAATGTCAGAGGTCAAGGTCATTGTCAAGGTGAAAAAAAAACACAGGGAAATATTCATTGTTTACACATGTTACCATCACTCATTAGTCACTATATTTAGTATTTTCGAGTTGTTGAGGCTTGGTTCTTTGTGGCATTATATTTGGTCAAACAGAAAAATAGCGGTGGGGGGTGTTATTAGGATTGGGGTTATAATACTAATAAATAATGGTAAATTGTTTGTTTTTTGTCTTGTTTTTATTTTATAGTCACTTCAGATGTTTTTACAGAAGTGTTTTCATATCTATGTGTCTTGTTTGTACTTCCAGAGCAATAAATACAATGTCTCAATTGAAAAAAGACATGGAAAAAACAAGCATTTCAGAAGCCTAATTACAAGTTCACACGTTGAATGCCTCAATACACTACTTCTGCATTGAATTTACTGCTTATATTTATAAACTTACATGATTTCCCTGCTGATATATATCTATTATGAAATATTTAAGAAATAAATGCCAAGTTCATGATCATTTGAACATACATACCCCTGTTCCATGATTTCGAATTTTGTAGAAAGGGGGGTGGGCGTATAAAAGTTAATGAAACAGATTAACTGAACGGTGAATATTGATAAAACTTTAAAAATAAATCCAGGGAATGGTGTATATGATAATAAAAGAAAGTGTTTTATGATTTTCAAAACTGCCCATTATACAGGGAATACCTTAAGTTAGAGTGTAAAATTATCCCTGGTGGAATTTGTCATCGGTAGAATTCACAGACTGAAAAGAGGAATAGGTGGAATAAAACCATTCTGTCCTCGTCATTCAATCTTTGGCTGTCACACATGACAAGTTTGTAGTTGTTTTTACTGACAAGGCTTCCATCAACCTTTATATGTAGTATCACGACATTAGTTGACTGGTCAAAGAACGTTTTGTAAGTGACATATCAAATAAAAATTAATATAATTTGTTTATTTTTCAAGAGCATATACACGGTTTGGGGTAGCAATATATTCACAGAAATAAAGCGTGACAGCTATTAAAGTAATCTTTATAGCTAATGATCGAAGTACATGTATATTGTGTTAACTTATAAAATTCGATAAGCTCCTTAATGATAAGGCTTAAGGGGCTGGATGAATAACCGAAAAGAACATTTCTTTGGACATTGTTACCGGGTTTTTCGTTTTGTGCGACATAAAAATTTCCATGTCTCGCAAGAACACTATTGCGATCCCAAAATGTATGTCCAGCGTCTTCTGTTTCCTTAGAACAGTAGCTACAACTTGTACTGTCCCATTTTATTGAGAAGTTTGTTGGCAGGATACATTTAAAATTTGAAACTGGAACCATTGTAGTTTAGTCACGTTCGTGCAACTAAACCGGATAGAACTCTATCCTGTTTTGTTCTTCAATATTGCGTCCTAGTTCGTACTCCCATTTGACCCGTGAAGATTCCGGTGTAGAATAGGTCTTCAGCAACCCATACTTGCCGTAAAAGGCGACTATGCTTGTCGTAAAAGGCGACTAACGTGATCGGGTGGTCAGGCTCGCTGACTTGGTTGATGCTTGTCATCGATTCCAATTGCGTGGATCGATGCTCATGATGTCAATCACTGGATTGTCTGGTCCAGTCTCGATTATTTTACAGACCGTCGTCATATAGCGGGAATATTGCTGAGTGTGGCGTTAAACAACAAACAAACAAACAAACAAACTCCCATTTAGCAAAATGACTAATTCTCTCACATGAATTTTGAATAAGTGTTTTATGTTTTCAAAGTGAAAACGGTTTAAAAGGTTTTGAATGACATGAACTGTACGTTATTATCTAAAACATCATAAATGAAACGCATCCCTTTTACAAACCATTCTTTATAAAATATACTGGTATTTCTTATTTTTGTGTTCTTGTTGTACCGTATTTTAATTTTGACGCTCTACGTACCAGTGATATTTATTGCGCATGTATTAATGATAGTATTGTGGGACATATTATAGTTCGATCTGATGTGATAATTTGACTTCTTTTTACTTTGTCGGGTTTACCTCCCCAAATGAATAAGAAACATCTTTTAGAAAACTTTTAATCTCAGTATCTGGTGGATCGGGTAGAGATGAAAATAAATGGTTATATTTTGGTAGAATTAGTGATTTTAGCACGGTATTTCTCCCTAAGGGAGTAGGATGTCTTGAACATCAAATGCACATGAGTGTTTCACATTTTCTACATGCATTGTCATAATTCAAGCCAATCATTTCGTGGAGATCAGTACTGAATTTAATTTCAAGGAGATCGAACGGGTCATGCCTCCGATCCAGGTTCCATTCTTGACATATTTTTATTCTACAGCACTTTTTTATCATATACAGAGAATCCTTTTTTGTCCATTATTTGTCTAACTACAAGGCCGCCCTCGGGATCTTGTGGTCAGGCTCGCTGACATGGTTGATGTTTGTCATCGTATCGCAATTGCTTAGATCGATGGTCATGATGTCAATGACTGGGCTGTCCGGCCCAGACTCGATTATTTACAGACCACCGCCATCTAGCTGAAATATTGCCGAACAACAAACATACAATTCGTATTGTGAGAAATATAGACATAAAATTTCGGTTAGTTTTGCTTTATTGAATGTGAGAAATCAAGATTAGTCTGGATAACTGCATATCACACACTGATATAAAACCCTAATGATACTCTTGTTTTTGCCTGTTCTAGACATAGAATAGATTTTTTATCAGAATTAATTAGCATACTATTAACACGAAACAATCAAGACCTATGGTTCTTTAAACAGCAGAATGTTTTTGATGATAGGTGACTGATCCAGGGTGATATTTTATGTCTATTCTTTTTCAATGAAATTTGATTATTTTCAGATAATTTATGACAAATGTGGTATTTGTAGACATAAATAATATGACTAGATGACTTTAAACATGTTTATATGAAATCATATATTTATCGTATATTCAGATCAGACACACTTACCGATACATGTTGATGTCCCAAGTCTCGCTTCACTAACTCATATCCTGGAACTTGTTTTTTCCTAATTCCACAACGCACGAATAGTTGGGTAGTTGGTGTCTTCAGGGTCATTGCCACAGCAAAAACATATAGAAGTATGTCAGAAGACAAGTTAAATGTGTTGTTATGTCACTCTGAATTGAAGTGTCAGAAAACTGACAAGATTGTTGAAATGAAACAGATATTTAATCCATTTCTGGCCTGCTACTACTTAGAAACAGCCAAATTGTATTTGGTTTCCAATGTCATAAATGACACACCACATATTTTAACCTTTTTGTAGGGATCGATATTTACTGATTTTGTCTCAGGCCATTGACATAATTGATACGTGTTTTATCTCAGTTTGCTTATCGAATAAAGATAGTTTGTTTTATTTTCATCTGAATAGAAATACAAAATATGTTTCTACAATTTAGGAAAATGTACCTGTTTCGTACTAATGATCTATTTTCAAATAATCGGGTCAGGTTGTCCAAGATATTGGTTTTGATGCCAATTGTAATATTTTTTTCTACTTGATGTGATATCTAGATTTAAAACCCCTCAACTGATTTCAGTGTAATCCACGCATTTGTACTTTGTCATGCTCTATTCAAAAGTACTCAGTTAAGTTATGGTTGGGAGAGAGAATATATGCCTTATTATGGTTGGAAGAAACAAAATATAAGAATATATGCCTTATGTCTACAGGACTATGGGAAAAAGGATATTTATTGGTGATGAGGCCGACACGGTGTCTCATGAAATAAATATGACGGAGCGCGCGAAGCGGCAAGTGACATGCTATGCAACTAATTTAGAAACATAAATTCTGTCAGCCAAATTCACCAAGCCCGAGCAGCAGATCCATTAATTCGACGTGATGTGCGTAGGCTGCTGGGGTGAAATTCTAACGCGGAAACGCCAGAGTGATTGAGTGAGTGAGTGAATGAATATGGTTTTACGCGATCTATAAAGACACCTTTTTGAGCCAGGTTGGGTCCTATTCTAACCTGGGAATCCAAACGATGTTTGAACAAGAACAAGAAGTGAACGAAATGATATTATAACAATTATATCTCAAAGTCTGAACCTTAGCAGCGACAAAAACGTTTTGATAATCATAAAAACATATCTTCATATAGCAGAGTTCATTGTTTGATTCCGACTTTATCACGAGCTTGTGTTTCTGAATAAATTTCAACAAGTGATGATAACAGGTGTACGCGTAAAGAACACGTCAAATATTAGTGCCACGTAAAATATTTGGCTTCACACACTGAATCGTTGATATAAATCATTATATAAAGCATTAAATATTTGATATGAATGGCAATAATTGCCTTCTCCATTCAGCTCCATTTTATATATACCCCTTTATATGTTTTAGCACAAATATCATACTTATTGTCCTTTTGTGTTCGTTATTTCCAAAGTAGATCAATACCACATCTTATCGCATTGGCATTGTCAGACACCGCAAGGTTTGCTTACCTCTTGTATTTGGTGGTACGCAGAGTTTGATAAACAAGCCTCAATTGACACTGCGATCTATACCGGGACCGGGTACGCTGAGTTCCCTGACAACATCCGAGGATTGACAAGGTGTAAAAACCACCCCTCTGTGAAAGGACATGATGCGCTTATATCAACAGATGGAAGTCATGTTTGGATGGCCATAGAACAACATATTCATTATTGTGGACCTTTAACAGACACTTCATGTGTGTGAGGGGGAAACTATCGATCGTAAGGGGAATGCAGGTGTAGTTGTACGTGCGTGCTTTTTAAAGTCTATTGTTCCCATATGACTACCTCAACAAAGAGATTTTCGCTTTAAGTATGGTAAAAAATGGGTTGTTCAGTTTTATAGATCATATAAGTGGTTGTTATAACTTGAAGTATACATAATATAAGGCTACACCGAGAATGATTTGACACGTGTATCGGCCAAATTTCGTGTCCTGTCAAAATAACTGAAAAATTGCACAACGTTATAAAGAAGTTGACATAAATCAAAGCAGGCATCTCTGAAGACACATGTGACTTCATGTCAAAATTAACAAAACTGATGATGTGTGATAATATCAATACATTAACAGGTCTTGCTTAATATTTGAAAAGACATATGCATAAATAATGACAAAGTTACATTAAAATATTTTGACTACCAGTTATATATTTATGATGATTACAGTGTATGTCCTTCATCTTACACCTGTTATACAGCAATGTAATAACACCACAAGACTCATACAACAAATTGCAACCTGGGACACGAGGCCTCAAATACCTGATAAATAAAAGCGACAGAACCTCTTCTGAAATCTAAGGAAATCTGTTGTGCGTTTCTTACTATATCATTAGCACGTGTACATTAATCACTCTACACAAGCCATACTACCAAGTGTTCTCTATACGTACATAATAGAACCAGCTGTCAAAGGAAATCTGTTGTGCGTTTCTTACTATATCATTAGCACGTGTATATTAATCACTCTACACTAGCCTTACTACCACGTGTTCTCTATGCGTACATAATAGAACCAGCTTTCAAAGGAAATCTGTTGTGCGTTTCTTACTATATGATTAGCACGTGTATATTAATCACTCTACACTAGCCATACTACCAAGTGTTCTCTATACGTACATAATAGAACCAGCTGTCAAAGGAAGTCTGTTGTGCGTTTCTTACGATATGATTAGCACGTGTATATTAATCACTCTACACTAGCCATACTACCAAGTGTTCTCTATACGTACATAATAGAACCAGCTGTCAAAGAAAATCTGTTGTGCGTTTCCTACTATATCATTGGCACGTGTATATTAATCACTCTACACTAGCCATACTACCAAGTGTTCTCTATACGTAGATAATAGAACCAGCTTTCAAAGGAAATCTGTTGTGCGTTTCCTACTATATCATTAGCACGTGTATATTAATCACTCTACACTAGCCATACTACCAAGTGTTCTCTATACGTACATAAAAGAACCAGCTGTCAAAGGAAATCTGTTGTGCGATCCTACTATATCATTAGCACGTGTATATTAATCACTCTACACTAGCCATACTACCACGTGTTCTCTATACGTACATAATAGAACCAGCTGTCAAAGGAAATCTGTTGTGTGCGTTTCCTACTATATCATTAGCACGTGTATATTAATCACTCTACACTAGCCATACTACCAAGTGTTCTCTATACGTACATAATAGAACCAGCTTTCAAAGGAAGTCTGGTGGCATAGGTTAAGCAGTCAGAAATAAATACGCTGACTATATCTCTATTGTTGATTACAATTGTTAATATTTTAAAATGGTTCTGTATATCCAAGTCATTATTTAACTTCACAATGACCTGAATCCAGGAATACTGTACCTACTCCCAGAAGGTTCTAAATATTCTACAGATGACATGTATATCCTTCTAGAACAATTCATTTTGCACATGCAAGCGGAGATTATATGATTATATTTTACTTATGGGTGATTTTATTGCAAGGTTTAGTTTGGTTTGTTTGTTGTTTAAAGCCGCACTCAGCAATATTCCAGCTATATGACGGCGGTCTGTAAATAATCGAGTCTGGACCAGACAATCCAGTGATTGACATTATGAGCATGGATCCACGCAATTGGATCGATGACATGCATCAACCAAGTCGGCGAGCCTGACCACCCGATCCCGTTAGTCGCCTTTTACGACAAGAATAGTCGCCTTTTACGGCAAGTATGGGTTGCTGAAGACCCCGGAATCTTCACGGGTCTACACGAGAAAACAAAAGATGTGATTGTAAGTAGACACTTCCGATAGCATAATCATAAATTGTGCACTGTCACAAAACCTTTGGGTGACAAGAAGCCACTCCTGAAGCGAATTTAACCAACCAGCTGACATACAACACTAAATATTCATCATATCAAACAGCGTGAGGCGACTGGCTGCCAAGTTGTCAGCACACTGCTGTATGCGGCTCGACACTGCTGACATGGATACGCTACTGTTACCAATTTCGTTGCTTTTGATCATTCATTTGACAGGTAAGCAGTGCCGTACGTTTCAAAGGAGATCTGTTGTATTTATTCACATATTGGCTTGGGGCCGATCATAAACAGTGTGGTCACACATTGAATATATCGGCTACCTCTCTCTGAGTTTTACCAACCCTCAGGTGAACATTACAACGGAGATGATGCATTCCCAAACTGATCGCATATTCTGCATTAAAGCCAGAGCAGAGAGCTCGTGTGTTACTGTGGATAATGAAAATAAACACTATTAATGGCTCAGATCGATTTGACAACATTTTATTAAAGTTCAAGAATGACGCCCTGCGCCATTCGTTACAAGCTCGTCCCAGTTCGGGACAAGCCGCATGTACACACGTGCCCCTCTCGAAGGTTTCCATGTTAGCTCGAACTCAAGAACTACAAGAACAAGAACAACTCTGATTGTACCCACGTCTTAAAATTGATGTTTGCGTTACAGCAGAGCTCGTTTTCGTGTTGTAACACTGTTGAACTTCTCTGATAAATATATTCTTTTTGACACAAGTATACCGGACTGGTCGGCCCGGACTCTGTATACTGTGTCTGAGTGGGGTATTCGGGTTTAACTGCGGCTTGGTATCTCAGTGGGCCAGCACATGCACACACTTATGGTTTAATATGATCAAACAAGGAAATTGAACATCAAAGCATTTTGTAAACATCGAAAATCACTCGTCAATATCGAAAAATTACTCGGACAATACTTTTACACTACTTCCGCAAATTTCGATGTTAAAGACACTGCCAACCTCGTTACCAAATATATTCTACCTATTCTGAAACGATTATTTTCTTATTACAAAACAAGTTACAAAAATTAAATGAGATTTAAAAAAAGATTTTAAAACCTTTTTTATTCTTTGTGGAAGTGGAACGTATTGAGGGACCTAATGTTCTACTACACACATTTCCGTATATCATGGAATTATGATTAAGCTAACGTACAAATATTTCCGGATAGTATGAAATTATGGTAAACCCAAACGTTCAACTATTTCCGGATATTATGGAATTATGGTAAATCCAACGTACAACTATTTCCAGGTATTATGGAATTAAGGTAAACCCAAAGTAAAACTATTTCCGGATATTATGGAATTATGGTAAACCTAACGTACAACTATTTCCAGATATTATGGAATTAAGGTAAACCCAAAATACAACTATTTCCAGATATTACTGAATTAAGGTAAACCTGACGCCCGACTATTTCCAGACATTATGGAATTATGGTAAACCCAAAGTACAACTATTTCCGGATATAATGGAATTATGGTAAAACCAACGTTCAGGTATTTCCGGATATTATGGGATTAAGGTAAACCCAAACGTTCAACTATTTCCGTATATTATGGAATTATGATTAAGCTAACGTACAAATATTTCCGGATAGTATGAAATTATGGTAAACCCAAACGTTCAACTATTTCCGGATATTATGGAATTATGGTAAATCCAACGTACAACTATTTCCAGGTATTATGGAATTAAGGTAAACCCAAAGTAAAACTATTTTCGGATATTATTAAATTATGGTAAACCTTACGTACAATTATTTCCAGATATTATGGAATTAAGGTAAACCGAAAATACAACTATTTCCAGATATTACTGAATTAAGGTAAACCTGACGCCCAACTATTTCCAGACATTCTGGAATTATGGTAAACCCAAAGTACAACTATTTCCGTATATAATAAAATTATGGTAAAACCAACGTTCAGGTATTTCCGGATATTATGGGATTAAGGTAAACCCAGTATACAACTATTTCCGGATATTATGGAATTATGGTAACACCAACGTTCAGCTATTTCTGTATATTCTGAAATTTTAGAAAACTATAATGGAATTATGTTTAAGAAATATATGACGAGGATAAGTTGTTTATTGTACAATGAAACACTGCAGAGAGCATAAAGACCCGCGTGTTTAATTGTCCCTGCAATTTTATATTGTATAATTAAAAACGACCACGAGTGTTATATCCACTTTTTGTATTTAGCCACTTTTAGGATTTATTAAAATGTACACTTTTTAAATTATTTACCTTTATTAAAAAAAAAATGACGACTCCCTGAATAGAATCACATTGATAACCTGATCTTGTTCAATAATAGTGAAAGAGCCAATTCTGGTCCACTGAATTAAAAACTAGAGAAACAAAAGGGTTGACTTCAATTTTCCAAAAGTCAACTTTTTGTTAAACAAAGTTCCAGCAGCTCCAGCCTTTTGAGATAAGATCGAGCACGATTTTCATACAAATATTTCAATGAGCATCATGCAATTCTTGCTGAAAAGGTGTTTGTTCAGTAAATATTTCAAAAACAATTTTAGACATTTCAAAATTTGATGCACCAGTTAGCAAAATGATCCCGATGCAATTTCCTAGTTAGTGGTGTACAGTATCATCCTGTTTTTTCAGGTGAATAATTGACATGCCATTACATGTGTTTGTGATGTGTGCTTGCTATGCGGTATGACACACTCACCTCCTCGCGAACACTTGGTTTCAACCCTAAATGATAGTGATCCATAAACACATGCTTATGATAGTTGGAATCCGTAAAGGGATTCTGTCTTTAAGAGCTAATTCTGATGATTATAAATATGGTTTTGTCGCATTTATTCCCCTATATATTGTATTTAGGTTTAAAAACCCTGCACTGATACACTATTATGCCTTTACCACACAATTGTAGTCTCAGACCCTCTAGTTCTAAAAAACATTAAATATCGCACGTTCGCACGCACACTTTGGTCAAATTTATTGTAGTGAATCATGTTTATATTACAGATTCTCTATCTCAAAGAGCAATATTTTCAACATCGCCAAATCATATCTACCACTCGCTGTTTGATGATGGTGTCATAAAAAGAAGCCACACTTCCCTCAAGTTCAAGGTTAAAGCCTGCGGTGATGCGAATGTAGCCCTGCAGACGCTGTACCAGAATTCAAACACACAGATGTACGAAGTCGTCCTAGGTGGCTGGAGCAACAGCAAATCCGTGTTCAGACGGTGTGCCAAGTGTGATTCACTCATGGAGTACAGTGGAGCTGTGGTATCCTGTTCTCAGTACAAACAATTCTGGACGAACTGGGTCGATGGTACAGTTAAGGTGGGACGCGGTGCCACAGTGGGTCAAGACGAGATCCTCTCCTACACAGATCCGAATCCACATGCTATTAACTACTTTGCTGCTGCTACCGGATGGGGATCATCTGGGGAATGGATATTTGGTAAGAAGAGTGAACCTGAGGCAGTCATGGGAAAGCATTGGAACTGTATTGAGCTCTCCATAGTGTGTGAGAGGCAGAATGCAGATGTTAGTTCGTAGGGCACAAATTGGACTCTTTTGTGACAATAGCGTTAAAAGAATTAGTGGTTTTACTGTATATTAGAAATGACTATTGTTGATATTTTCCTTACAAACATATTCCCCTTTGAACGATGATATTGGTGACAATTTAATAGCATTATGTTTCAGTGACAATAACGTTTACTCATTTTGTTATAGATCTCTGTGAGTCCAGTCTGCAGTTTAAGTTTCTCCAGAACAACGCAAAGTATGACGGTGGCACAAACAGAGATTCCAAGATAGTTCTGTCAAGAGTAGACTGTCCAGTCACCTGTCTCTCTCTCATCTGGTGTCAAGGATTTAGTCATGCCTCGTCCACAAACACCTGCAACATGTTTGATGGTATTCCACCAACAACAGCTCTTACCTCTGCTACAGGATGGGAGACTTGGATTGTTTCACTGTGATTATTTCTTTAAAATGCTGTTTTCCAGATTCGTACTGTTTTCCTACAAACCCCTACACCCCACCTAGTGCATAGTACAGTAAACGTTGTTCAGTAGTGAACATAATGCAGCGAACATATTTTGTCATGACTAATTATAAGTGTTATCTCCACACCGTTAATTCTGAAACAATGCTATTTTTATCTCTATTCTGTTGTTGAGTGTATGGTAATTGTTACGATCTTATAGAGAAATAAATCTGTACTGAGTTTTAGCAAATTTGTTTCTATAGATTCTGTGTATAGGGAGAAACACATGCTTGTGCGACATTGTCTCCGACCCGACGATGCATTCCGATTAGGAATACAAAGTTTAAAGCATATGTGATATTTTAAATTTTCCTTAACATTTACAAATAGATTATGAATGAAATAACAAAAAGGGGATCGAAATTTTATAAGAAAAAATATTGACGCAAAACTTTGCAGAACAGCATTATTAGAGGACTTAAGGGAGTGAGAGAGTGAATGGGAGAGTGAGTGAGTGAGTGAGGTTTTACACCGCTTTGTCCAGGTTTAAACTTGTCTTTCTTGCTACACTACATGTCCAGACGGTCAGACAATAGTAAGGAGAATCAATCATGATCAGTGAAACATGTATCCGTCAGTTGCACAGTTTCTGTTGTTACTGTTAAATGTTAAAAGCCCCAACTCTATTCTCCTGTTGATGCAAATTAAGGTTCATTAGTCGAGGTTTGTGTTGTGTATTCTTCCTCGTATGTTGAAAAAATATAACCAGTATGAATAAGTCAGAAGAGAGAGGACTTTGAGAACACCCAGCAAGTCCTATTCAATCACCGGTAATGTAAGAATCGATATGTTTCTACAGTGATTATATTGTTTGAATTGACATGTGACACACTCTGAAGTGAAATCAACGAGACCTGGTGATTAATGTGAAACGGTTAATCAGGAATCAGTTAGTATAACACTGCATGTTTCTTTCTATAAATATGCATTGCAGTTTCGCAAAGGAACCCTTGCAAAATGCTATTGAAGTCTGCGACCAGAGTAGACTTATCACGGAATCAGATCGGACTCAAAAGGTCTCTAACTAGCCTGCGTTTCCTGTAAGATCGCACACATGTGTTTATATTTAGTTTTGTTTTGCTTGTTTGTTGTTTAACGCCGCACTAGTTTGCTATGATACATAAATACGTAGTATTTTAATGTCAACCAAGACCTGTGTACAATAGGTACATGAATTCATTTATATGAGTGGCACTTTCAACGAACATCTGGAGAAACATTGCCATTTAGTCTAATCGAGTCTGGACCAGACAATCCAGTGATTGATATCATGAGCACTCAATTGGTTGGTTGGTTGGTTGGTTGGTTGTTTGGTTGCTTAACGCCGCACTCAGCAATTCCAGCTATATGAAGGCGATCTGTAAATAATAGAGTCTGGACCAGACAATCCAGTGATTAATATCATTATCATCGATCCACGCACTTGAGATCGATGACATGCATCAACCAAGTCAGCGAGCCTGACCATGGCCACCCGATCCCGTTAGTCGCCTTTTACGACAAGCATAGTCACCTTTTACGGCAAGCATGGGTTGCTGAAGACCTATTTTACCCCGGAATCTTCACGGGGCTGAACGTGCAGAAAGTTTCCTCGGATTGATATTTGTACCAGAGAGAACCTTGAAGACACTGGAAATGATCCAGGGTGAGTGAGTGAGTGAGTGACATCAACAATATATATTAAGCTGTATAAAACTCTGCCGACGAAGGGCAGTATAATAACTAGAATATCACAGCTTTTCGTAAAACTAGTTTGTGAACATTTAAAATAGATAACTAACTAACATTCGACAACACATTATAAAAAAACGGGCTATAGATCGCCACCAACTGAAGGTTGATCACCGCGCTGGGGACCATGCCTTACAGAACTTTTGCTACCTGCATGGACCTCAGTCGGATTTACATCATCCCATCAGTTGTTGGCGACGGCTGACAAATTTAGCCAAACATTAAAATAACACATATGGTTCATATTAAAAACGTGGAAGAAATAAATATACTTTGAAAGACGTGGCTTACATACCCTCTCAGGGGGACAATAATTTAACACTACTTTAACCCCCTTCGGGGATATAGCCACTTACAATCTGTTATTGATTTATGAAACCAATTATAAAATGAATTTATTTATTTTGTTATTTCAAAAAAATAGTCAAAATTTATGGATCAATTCAATTTCTTTGAAAAAAACAATTAAATGATTCCTTGAAAAGATCCTTGATTCCTTGATTGATATCAAGCAGGTAAATGCCTGTCAAAGAAGAGTATCCCCTTTGTATACTCACATTTTGGAAACACATCCGAACAACTGAATCGTTACAACTGATCATGACAAAACGCCATAAAACGTGAGTACGCCTTCAGAACGCAGTTTGATTTACAAAATTCATGAGCTGCAGAAAGCTGAACGTGTCAGTTGTCTATAAAACATACTGACAATTGACTCTCGACATGCAAATATGAGATTTGAAACATTTCGCGAAGCTATATACGTCTGTCATACCAAGGGTGAATTCAGTCTAAGTATGTCGGAGCACTCGATCACCTATCATGATTAATAACTTATACAGCTGTCCATAACACCCTGTCACCCTCACAGTCGAAGGTTTGAACTCACTGTACATATGGGCTGTGTGATGTGGGGAGTAATTCCCTCTAAACTGAGACAGACTGTGTTGCAAGAATTACACACAGGACACGTCTTGTTTCGTTTCTAACGTCAGCAGTAGTAACTGGTAGTTGCTCAAACTGTCGGTTGTAAAACATCTCCACGTCATCTGGTGATTCTTTCTGCTCCCTGGTAACATTGACAAGTGGAAGTCTGGATAACACATTAGCATTTGCATGCTTCTCTGATACCTTATTCTCAATCTCATAATCATATGCACTTAGGATGAGCGCCCATCTCTGCATCCGAGCAGCCGCAAGTGTAGGCACCGGTCTTCCAGCTCCAAACAAAACAGTCAGCGGGCGCTGATCTGTGATTAATGTGAAATGTCTGCCATAAATGTACTGGTGAAACTGTTTTACACCAAAAATAATCCCCAAAGCTTCCTTGTCTATTTGAGAATATCCACTCTCAGCTTTCTTAGTGTGCGGGAAGCAAATGCAATGGGCCTTTCCGAACCATCCCTTGTAACATGTGACAGTACTGCCCCAACACCATATGACGAAGCATCACATGCAAGGCGTATGGGTAGTGAAGGATCGTAATGACATACCACATCCGAGCTGGCAATCATTCACTTGCATTTCTTGAAAGCTTCTTCACACTGGGAAGACCATGCCCACTTCTTACCTTTCCTCAGTAAGTCATTTAGTGGATGTAGTACCGTAGATAAATGCTCCAAAAAACGCCCACAATAGTTCACAGCACCCAAAAATGAACGTAGTTGCGATATATTCTCTGGTCTTGGAGCATCAGTTAAGGCCTGTCCTTTTTCCTTAGCCGTGTGCAGTCCTTCACTATCTATCACATGACCAAGATACTTGACTGAATCGACAAAAAACTTGCACTTTTTTTCCCCTCAACCCATATTCCTGCAACCTTTTCAACACTGCCTCTAGATTTCTGAAATGTTCTTTATCACTTGATCCGGTTACTAAAATGTCATCTTGATGACACACTACTTTGTCCAAGCCTTGCAATATCTGGTCCATTGTGGCCTTAAATATGGCTGGTGCAGAGGCGATGCCAAAAGCAAGACGGGTATACCTGTAAAGTCCCTTTGGTGTGTTAGTTGTCAAATATTTCTGACAATCTGTATCAACTTCCATCTGTTGATATGCATGTGCTAAGTCTATTTTGGAAAATGTTCTTCCACCAGCCAGAGTAGCAAACAAATCTTCTATTTTGTGCAGTGGGTACTTATTAACATTCAACACTGGGTTCACTGTAGACTTGGAAGTCCCCACAAATTCTCACTGTTAGATCCCCTTTGATAACAGGTACAATCGGAGTTGCCCACTCACTGTGATCCACTTTAAACAATACCCCATTCGTGTAATATCTTCCTTCACCCTGTCCTGTAAAGCATAAGCTACAGGCCTTGCTTTCATGAACCTGGGAGAAACTCCCTCTTTGACAGACAGGTGAGCTTTAATACCTTTTGTTGTACCATTTTCTCCTGAGAAAACGTCACAGTACTTCACAAGTATCTCTTCCAACTTTTCCTGACTTGAATATTCGCTGCACATCTGAATGTCATCACCTAGCTTTTTCCAATCAATGTCCACATATGGTAGCCATGCTGTACCTAGCAGAGGGGGCACTTCCCCTTTTACAACATGCAAATCCAACTTGTTCACATCATTTCCATTTGCAACATCAACTTTCAGTATGCCAAAGTTTGTAACACGCTCACCTGTGTAAGTTCTCAAAGGTACTGTTGCCTCGACCAAGTGACATCCGTTAAAACGATCCCTGTACACTTCTTCAGTAAAGATGGAATTTCGCGAACCAGTATCCAGTTCCATGTTTAGGTCAGTACCGTTTATGTTGACTGTGACCCACTATAACCCCAGAACTTCCGGGCATGGCAAACATCTGATTCAAACATTCTGATAGATCATCGACAATGAAATCGGAATAGTTCTCAAACCAAGCACAAGTTGGTCCCGAAGCCTCTCATTTAAAGTGACGCCAAACTCACAGTTTCGCGAAAGTCCCTTCAATGCAACCAAATACTGCGCAACTGTTTCACTTTCACTTTGCATCTGTTTGTGAAATCTGTACCTTTCTGCAATGACTAGTGGTCTGGGCATGTAGTGATTCTGTAGATGTGTCACTAAGTAATCCAATCTGTGGTCTTGCGGTCTCGCGGGCAAAAGTAAAGATTTTAGCACTCCATATGTTCTGCCGCCGAGCATGGAAAGAAATCCGGGCACTCCTCTTTCGTTCGGAATTTCGTTCGGAATTTTCGTCAAACTGACCAACTTAACCGATGACGCCCGCCATTGTGATTGATGGTCACGAGCAGGCCCACTATCATTTGCACAAAAAAAACCCCGCACTGCTGAATGAAAATAAAAAAAGGCCAGTTGTAAAAGTCATCCTTGCACGTAATGTTTCCGTAGTTTGAAGTTTTTATCCTCGTCGCCACTGTAAAGTTTTTGTAACATCAAGCAACAGCGGCGTTAAACAACAAATTAAACCAACCAAATCATACGCCAATATGAGAAGGGCACGTGTCCACATTCGGTTTATTCGGAATGGGACAAGTTGGTCATGAATTGCTCGCTGACGTTGTTCATGCATGTCATTGTATCACGATTGTGTAGATCGATGCTCATTATGTCAATCACTTGATTTTCTGGTCCAGACTCAATTATTTACAGCCCGTCGCCATACAGCTTGAAAATATATGACTGAGTGCGGCGTTAAACAACAAACGAACTATTGCAAAAAACACTCGCCCATTCTACTTGTAAATGTTTTAAGCATGTGAGTAATATATAATAATTACTTCTAGCTCTCTCACATTAACCTGCCGACCCATGAATATTGGTTGGTTTGTTGTTTTACGCTGCACTCAGCAATATTTCAGCCATATGACGGCGGTCTGTAAATATTCGAGTCTGGACCAGACAATCCAGTGATTAATATCATGAGCATCGATCCACGCAATTGGGATAGATGACATGCATCAACCAATTAAGTCAGCGAGCCTGACCACCCGATCCCGTTAGTCGCCTTTGACGACAAGCAAAGTCGCCCTTTACGGCAAGCATGGGTGGCTGAAGACCTATTCTACCCCGGATCTTCACGTGAGATCCCGGGTAAAATAGCAACCCATACTTGCCGTCAAGGGCGACTATGCTTGTTATAGAAACGGGATCGTGTGGTAAGGCTCGCTGACTTGGTTGATGTATGTCGTCGTATCCCAATTGCCGTGATCGATGCTCATGTCAGTCACTGGAATGTCTGGTCAAGACTCGATTATTTACACACCGCCGTCATATAGCTGGAATACTGAGTGCGGCGTTAAACAATCATGTGAATGCTCCAAATAGAACTGATATTTCCTTTCCCTTTCCACCAGATACAAGTGTACAAGGCATGTCGCTCGAGACATACAAAGGCGTGACGACGGTTGTGGCACCTTCCCATGTGTTCTTG